GTTCGCCTTGAGATGCTATTGGGCCAATATACACAATATTGCATCAAAATCTGCAGCGGGTATGCTTGTAAGTATGAAGAGCAAACATTGCATGACAGAATGCAAAAAAACGAGAGAATACTGCAACTTGGTGACGTAGCCTGCGGCGTCGCCAACCAGGATGGCGCGGTCCTGCGATGAGCAAGATACAGGACGCAGCCCAATGGTGATTTACTGGTCGATTTGATGGGATTTAATGGTGATTTACAGGATCTACCCTCCAAATCTACCTATGATCCTAGAAATTGCGATTTTCCGTTGCTATGTTAATTTGCCACAAGGGCAGAAGGTCCTCCAATATATATATACAATGTATCTATTTGTGCATTTATTCATTTATGCATTTATTTATTTATGGGTGCATATTTTTTGGTGGAATTGTTTTTGTTTTTGTTTATGTTTTTTCCCCGGCCGGGGCACTTTTCCTTGCTATTTTGCTAGTCCACCTTCAGGGGCCCTGGACCGCACACAACGCATGTTTGACACCCAAGCGGCCAGAAAAATGCACTGTGCATCGGTTTTTCCATGGTGTTCATTGATTTACCCAAAGTGTTCATCGATTGTTCCATAGTTTTCATTGAGTTTGCCATGGGTTCAATTGGTGTTTCCATGGTTTCAATCGATTTTTAGATGCATAACATCCACCTGGTGAACATGTAGAATATAGGTTGAAGCACAACCGTGTTGGGTTTAAATAGTCGCATTGGATGCTATCATAGTGTTGGTTGGTTTAGGGTTGGTTTAGGGTCATCTAGGGTTGGTTTAGGGTTGGTTCTGGGTTTATTTAGGGCTTATTTAAAGTTGGTTTAGGGTTTATTTAGGGTTATTTAGAGTTGGTTTAGGGTTTATTGAGGGCTATTTAGAGTTGGTTTAGGGTTTATTGGGGGTTATTTAGAGTTGGTTTAGGGTTTATTCAGTCTAGGGTTGGTTTAGGGTTTAGGGTTGGTTCAAGGTTTATTTAAGGTTTATTTAGGGTTGGTTTAGGGTTTATTTGAGGTTATTTAGGGCCATTTAGTGTTATTTAGGGTTGGTTTAGGGTCTATTTTAAGGTACATGTAGGGACACAAGGTGTGTATAGATAGAATAGAATAGAATAGAATTGAATTGAATTAGAATAGAATAGAATTGAATAGAAAATAGGATATAACAGAATAGAATAGAATAGGAATAGGAATAGGAATGGGAATGGAATAGAATAAGAATAGAATAGACTAGAATAGAATAGATTAGATTAGATTGGATTGGATTGGATTATATAGATTAGATTAAATTTGATAGATTAGATAGATTAGATAGGTTAGATAGATAAGATAGAGTAGATAGATTAGATAGATAGGTAGATAGATTAGATTAGATCAAGTTAAGTTGGGATCGAGATTAAGATCAAAATTAAGATTAAGATTCGATTAGATTAGAAAGATAGATAGATAGATTAGATAGATACATTAGATAGATTAGATAGATAAAATGAGATTAGATAAGATTAGAAAAGATTAGATAAGATTAGATTTAGGTTAGATTAGATTTAGGTTAGATTTAGGTTAGATTAGATTTAGGTAAGGTTAGATTAGATAGATAGGTAAAGCATGGTAAAGCCACAAAAGCCATACACCCACAAAAGCCACAGAAGCCACAAAGCCAGGCTGGAAAACAAAAAAAAACATCACCAAAAAAACCTTCATTTATTTATATTTATTTATATTTGTTATATTTATTTTTATGTTCATATTTTTATGTTTACATTCATAAACATATATTATCATATCTTTATATTGTTTCATTTTTATGTATATATGATATGTATATTTATGTGTATATATGATACGCATATGTTTATTTATATATTTTTTATAATTGTATATATATATATAGTCATCCTGGAGAAGATAGAATATGAATATGGGATTTTGAAAATAGTCCCATTTCAGCATTTTTTCGAACATTCCACATTCGATCTAGTATATTATATGTACTCTGATATAGTATATGTATGAATATGTGTTTTAATAGCGGTCATCCAAATTCAATGGGAATCCTTCGCCAGAAAACACTGAAAAACACACGCCACCAGCCCCAGGTGGCTGGAACTCATCTGTGGAAATGGCTGTGTCCATCTCCAGTCCTTTACGCGCCAAGGGCGGGAATGCTCTGGGATGGGGTGCGCCTCAACCCGAATGATCTCGCCACCATCAATGCGGGTGGCTGCCCTGTCACGGATGCCCTGCTGGTACCTGCAAACGTACCAAGGGGATTGGATGGGGGCTGGGGAGTTATGGTCCAAGGGCTGGGATTGGAGCGGATTCATATATCTTATTGCTCCAGTTTGCTAGAGAAAGCCTTAAGTGTGCCAAGTCATTGCTTGCCTCGGCAGCTTCCATTTCCACCACCCGATGGTCCCATGGTCCCATGGCCTTTGAATGCCCTTCTTGTCCACCACTGTGCCAGTGCCCACGGCCACATGATCGCACTTGGGGAAAACCCAGGCATAAAGTCCGGAGACACGTCTTCACCCACATACATCTCCGCACGGTCCTTGGACCAAGGTCAGGATTTGGGGCCAAACTGGATTGACACTGACACCAATCAAACCTACGCATGGTCGTCTGTCCTTGTAGTAGTCCATCTTCTGCTCAGGGATCTTCATGCGCTCCTGACAGCTCTGACGGAAAGGGCCGGGACTGAATCGGAAAGACATCCAAAGCCCCTTCAAAAGTGTCGTCAATTCAGGTTGATCGATGTCAGACACCAGTTCACCATTCCCGCCTATTCCCCCCTATATCAACAACCCAAAAAACATAATGCGAATCCTTTCAACTCGTTGGGGCGCCATAGGATGGCCCTCCATGGCCTGGAAGGCGATGGCGTACTCGTAGTCTCCGGCCTCGATGTCCTTGGCCACGCGGCTGTTCGCCCCATCCGCACCGATGACCACGTCCACCTCCAGGCTCTTCTTCACGCCTTTCCGGGCATTGCCTTGGACCCAGAGGGCGGTGGCAATCAACCCAAATATCTGAGAGAAGGAGACCGGTAAATTATATATATTATATATATATATGGATACATATATATATATATATATATGGATACATACTGTGTATGGATGTATATGTTTGTATGCAACGTGTGTGTGTGTGTGTGTCTCTCTCTCTCTCTGTCTCTCTCTCTCTCTCTCCATCGCCTTCAGACCAAGTCTGGCCCAGCCAGTATATGTATATAGAGATAAATCCAAATATTATACAATATATTTGCTCTTATTGTAGCAACATGAATATATCAATATAGATATAGATATACTGTAGATATAGATATAGATATCATACACGTCGCAAATATATTCACACCTTGCTGGCAGGTGTCCCTGCTCATCCTCGTAATCATTGTAGGTCAGAACATAGGAATCACCTTTCTTCTCTGGCAAGGTCATACCTGGGCGTGAGAGCCATCCAACATCCACGAAGTATCACGAAGTCATGATGAACACAAATGAAAATGTGGGTTAGCATGATCTAACCATTATACAAATATATGATGGCACCATCAAACAATAAATTGATATAAATTGTGCAATATGAAAAACATTGAAAACCTGTATAGCAGTAAACCCAATCATCAACCTCCAGCTTGGGAGGTTCCAAAACCACCCATTTCTGGCGAAATTGGGCATTGTCTACATATTATCGGGCTTACCACAGCCGAGGCGCCCAAGAACAGCCCGTTGATCAAGGTGGCTCCGTTTTTCTTGGCCCTCTGCCGAAGGAAATCGTCCAAGACCTCTCGGCGGACCATGCCAATGTACTCATCATCCTGGGGAACGAGCAAAATGAACGTGAGCTATTTTTAGCCCAAAAGATGCAAAGGATGATGAAGGGGGACCGTTTGAGAATCAACAGTGGGTCCCAGCAAACAATGATAAACAACGTCGGCGAAGAAAGTGTCTCCATCTTAGATGTCTTTCATTGTCTTTACCCACCATGTCTATTGAGGTATATAATTGAGATGAAGATTGCGTTGACCCTCGTGTCCTTCAAGGTCTGACCAATTTGAACCTCCTTGTTGGTGGGTGAGATCATGGTCATCTTGCGCACCTGCCGATCCACAATGTTCTTTGGCAGGTCGAATTCATCAATCATACACAGTGGGATGGCTCCACCGCATGGCTTGCAGTTGTCCATCTTTCTCTCGATCAAATATGTCTCGACTCCATCCTTTGCCAGCTGATCTGCAGCACTGGCACCTGCGGGTCCACCACCCACCACTGCCACTCGCAGCTTGCGGCCCTCAGGGAAGTTGACACCTGCGCACACCACCACCTTGGCATCCCTCAGGCTGCGGTGGTTCTTCACTGCGCTGACCTTCACCCCCTTGGCCAAGGTACTGCACTTGGAGCGTCGCACTGCCCCAGCCACCCCAGCTGCCGCAGCCGCGGTGGCGGCCACAGCGATGCCAGAGAAGCTGGAGAGGCCCGAAGCAGGTGCTGGAGCGCTGGGGGCCAGGGCGGCTGGAGCAGCAACGCGGGACTGAAGGGGAGTGGCGGACTGGACGACCAAAGATGGCATGGCCATGACGCCTGACATCGTTAAAAACCAAAACAAAACTAGTTGCGGTGCAATGCTTTCTGCTTAGCCTTGGGCCGAGACGTCAAGAAGGCAGGAGGTTGCTGAAAAGTTGGACATGCTGTCAAAGAAATGCTTTGAATGAACCTCACCCGTCTAGTCGCTAGAGCTTCCGACCAAGAGACAGAGAAACAAAGGGAAAGCACGCACAGTGTCAGACAATCAAATTACATATATATATATATATATGTGTGTGTGTGTGTTTGAGTATGTATATATATATATAATTATATATATTTATTTATTTATTTATTTATGTATTTATTTATTTATCTATTTATTTAAACATGTGTGTTATTCTAGCCCTTGAAGCCCTGGTTTTTGAGCGTAGAACATCGAACGAAGCGCCTTGAGCTCCGCCTCTCGACGAGCCAGCTCCTCTTGGACCATGAGGCATCAGCGGGTGATGTCAGGTGATTGAAGATTTTTAGATGCATTTAGGGTGGTTTATCCTTGTTTATGGAATTTTATGGTTGATCTTTCTGAAGCATCAGCCATTTCTGTGGACCGATAGGAACCTCCCGGTCATCCAGTTGCTCCTCCTTCTGCACTCCTAGGCTGTCTCTTTGCTCCACCAGCCTGGGGCTCGGGAAGACAGCTGGAATCTGAGAAGAAAATATACAAAAATGCAATCCAGACCTCCCATGACTTCGCCATTTGTAGATTGCGTTCTTGTTCTAATTCTAGGGCCTAGATTCTAGGGGTTGTGCAATTCCCATCTTGAATTTGCTCACGGGAGCCCGCGGATTCTGGTCAGATTCGAGTATCAGACCATCTGGGATATCCAATGTTGACATATGTTGACCCCGACCCATACCGGGCCCATACCCATATTGCCAACAACCCACGTTTTGGGTCGGGTCCATGGATGTCGCTAAAGCTCTGCCCAGCTGCTCCTTTTGAAGGTCAGCCAAACCTCTGTGGCCGGTGCTGCTTGAAGGAATACAGTTTCATCGAATATCTTGATATATCTTGATACTCTCGTCTCTCATCTCACCTCTCTATACCTCTCTTCTCTCACCTCATCTCATCTCTCACCTCACCTCATGTCTATCTCTCTCTCTCCCCTTCGTTTTCTCGCCAAATGTGCTATCTTTTATGCACAACTACCCGCGTATATTTTATGTGCATACTGGTATACACTGGTAACAACAAGCTCGGCTCTTGGAATCTGGGACTCCGATGTCACCACTGTTCTCCCGTAAGGTATTTTTGCGGCGCATTGCAGCATTACGCATTGCGCAATGATGATAAATCGAAAACAGAATCCATGATTTGTCCTCTAAATGGTGGTGAATATATGTGAATATATGTGAATATCACATCATACGAGTATCACGTCCCAGATCTTAGCAGCGACTTTGATTGCGAAAAACCGGGGCGCCAGAGTTTCGATCCGTAGCATCCATGTATAAAGCCATCTCTGATGTTTCAAGCAGAAGTTCTCCCCTCCAGTGCCCTCACACTATCACCGACCATAGCCGACATCCTCAACCCGATGGCCAGGAGGCAGCCCGAGATCTCTTCCAGCTTTTGCATCGAACCTCACCCAAGTTCTTGAATCTTGAGATTTTCTGAGATCTCTGAAAACCTTCCCAGGTTTTCAATCATTGAATCATCCCTTCTCCGAGAAAAAATGTATCTAACAACCCCTAAAAAAATAGAAAACCATGTTGGTTTGATCTTGTTGGGGGTTGCTATACTGTAAAACACACACACCTTGGCAATGGATGCCACGGGATCATGGAAAATCTGAGCGGCCCCACTCGGCGCACCATTGGCCGCCAGGACTTTGAGCAGGGCCTCGGTCAGCCTCGGCCCAACAATAAACCGACCATTCGGGGATGGTTCATACCATACACATGGTGATTTTGGGGATGGTTTAGGGTTTTGGATTTACCACATTCTGGGGTATACGGTATGGGTGAAAAATTGGGCACTAACCCACCAAACTGTTTTTTCAATGATTGTCTGAATGAGTTGATCATTCTCGTCCATACGCGTATTCTCTTTGCCCATTTCTACCACCAGGTGACCAGGTGGAACTGTGGTGGATACATACTAAAATGGTAACCAAAAGGGGTGGTTCTACTTGGCTCTATCATATGAGGCTAAGTACAGGAGCTTCAGTCTCCATCTGGTGGTGAAATGATCAAATTCCCTCTGGTTGGTATAGGCCATGACTATGTTCTGAACCTTAAGAGGTGCTGGAAAAAGCACCTGTAACACTTGGTGTTGGCAAACAGTGAAGTACTCCGTTGTCGAAAGACCATTAAGACTTACTGAGCTAAGGATTGATTACACTCTGGTAATTCAACATAGTTGTTGAAAATGGCCCATAGAAATAGTTGATTTAGCTATAAAAAAATGGTGATTTTCCAGCTCGCAAGCTGTGAGTTTACCAGGTATCCAGGATCGCCGGGTTTCCAAACTCATCTCGGGTAATGTCCTCCTCAGGCATCTGAAGGGTCTTTTGCCTGAAGTTGTTTGGGATCACCGGATGACAAATCATGATTTGTATTACGTTTTTCGATCTTTTGGGACTACTCTATTTCTATATATATATATATATACATATACATATGTATATACATATGTGTGTACAGTATATTGATTATATTATACTCTTGAAATCTTTCAGAAAGCATTATATATCCAGCCCCCGCCTCAACCAGTCTGCTACATGTGGTGCGCTCCCAAACTTCACCCCCGGGATGCTCTTTGCCTTGGATGTTGGAGCAATCCCTGTGTCACCACCAAGTTTGTGCGAAAGCGTGAGTTCAAATAATAGATTGATGACGATTTTTATTATATATTATTATTATCATTAATAATGAGAATGATAGTTATATTAGTTATAATGCGAATGATGATAACAATAATTAATAGTAATGATGATGAGATATTTTTTACAATTTCCTTTCACACCAATCTCCGATCTCATTTCGAAGTATCCAGGATTCACCTCCGGTTGATGCCTGTGACAGTTGAAAATATGGCTGTGGGGATCCGTGGGTGGTGGGTCAAAAGCCATGGAACCCCATGGAACCCCACTGGTACATGGATGTTCAGTACCTCCAAGAATGTGCCATTGGCCCAGACTGCCACAACATGCCATAACATCATCCAGGCCCAGAACCAAAATCTGGATAAGTTGAATCACCAAACTGAGAAGTTGGGCCATTTAATCGTAGTTAATCTCGATGATCAATGATGTTCAAAATCATACCCCCGCAGGTGATTCATATAGAGTAAAATAGATATATGTTTCATGCTGCTAATGCTGCCCTTCTGACTGCAGCAAGTGATTATTCGAAGGAAGTTTAGAAGTCAAACTTCCGACAATATGGACAGATGAAAAGCAGAGCTGGGAAGAGGCAGAGAGAAGAGAAAGATTAGAAGAAAGAAGAGTAGAAGAGAAAGAGTAAGAAGAAAGAAGATGGAGATGTGCGAAAAGGTAGGAAAGTCGCGAAACACTGTGTTTTTCCAATGATTTGGGGCTCCGGAGGGTCGAAAAATAGGCTCGCTAAAGCGGCGGGTGCGGAGCCAGCTGGCCAGATGAGAGATGAAAAGTTGCACGCCGTTGTGGCGCGAAGCAGATTTCCAAGTCAAAATGTACAAAACACACCAGCTCCGGACCACTTTTGGAAGTTGAGATGTCAAAAAAGTGCACGCCGTTGTGGCGCGAAGCACATTTCCAAGTCAAAATGTACAAAACACACCAGTGTCGGACCACTTTTGGAAGTTGCGGATGTCAAAAAAGTGCACGCCGTTGTGGCGCGAAGCACATTTCCAAGTCAAACAAAATGTACAAAACACGCCATTCTCGGACCACTTTTGGAAGTTCAGATGTCGAAAAAGTGCACGCCGTTGTGGCGTGAAGCACATTTCCAAGTCAAAATGTACAAAACACCACATGTTCGCGCCACTTTTGGAGGTTCGGATGTTGAAAAAGTGCACACCGTTGTGACGCGAAGCACATTGCGAAGTCAAAATGTACAAAACACCACATGTTCGCACCACTTTTGGAGGTTCGGATGTCGAAAAAGTGCACGCCGTTGTCGCGCGAAGCACATTTCCAAGTCAAAATGTACAAAACACCACATGTTCGCGCCACTTTTGGAGGTTCGGATGTCGAAAAAGTATACGCCGTTGTGGCGCGAAGCACATTTGGAAGTCAAAATGTTAAAAACACCAGGGCTTCGGACCACTTTTGGAGGTTCGGATGTCGCTTCGCTTCAATACACTACACTACAGGACATTACACTACACTACATTACACTCCAGTACACTCCACTACATTAAATTACACTACACCACACTACATTACATTGAATGACACTGCAACACAGATAGACAGGTAGACAGCTAGACAGATAGACAGATGAAAGGGAGAGATAGATAGACAGGTAGGTAGATAGATAGATAGGTAATTAGATGAAAGAGAGAGAGAGAGAGGCTAGCTGGGTAGATGAGATAGATAGATAGATGGCTAGACAGATAGACAGACAGAAAGACAGACAGATCGATAGACAGACAGACAGACAGACAGACAGATAGATAGATAGATACATCGATAGATACATAGATCGATACATGGAGAGATAGATAGATAGATAGATAGACAGACAGACAGATAGATAGATAGATAGATCGATCGATCGATAGATAGGCAGAAACACTCAATCACCTTTCGATCCATGAGTGGCTTCGCTCTGCCATCCCTGATTCACAACAACCAACCTATAGGTTTCCTATTTTTGAAACTTCCGACACCGCCTTGCGCGGTACTACTGGTATTATACCTTTGTCTGCCAATATCCTCTGGTAATTTAACATAGCTATTGAAAATTGCCATTTATAGTGGATTTTCCCATGAAAAATTATGATTTTCCATAGCTATGTTAGTTTACCAGAGGGTAATCCCATGTGTTTTCCCATGTTTTTCCACTTTCCTGAAAGCCTAATATGGCTATGGCATGCCATGAAGGGCACCTGGGAGGGACCCCTGGGATCCCCTCAGGTCCTGGCATCAGCTGCCGACTCTTGTGGCTGGGACTCCCAAGTCTCACCGCACCTATTATCCACACAACGGGCACATCCATTGGATGGGGGGAAAAAATGTGGAAAAACATACTGGAAAATGATGCAAAATGAGGCTCATGTTTTCTCATGTTGTGAAAATATTAGTTCATGATCTTCTTGGCGATTCTCAGATCTTAGATGAACGGTTCATGAACGTCAATTTTCTTCCCAAGATCTTAGTTCGCAAAGGTTCACCAAATGATATCGATGGCCATATCATGGTCATATCTGACCCACCAGCACCAGGCAGTCGCAAATGCGGCGACCCATGGGCCGCGCCTCTCAACCTGCGAGCGCCTGACGCCCAGGGTGCTTTGCAATTCGCTCATCTCATCGGCGGTGATTCTGAGGGTTGTGTTTGTCTTGTGCTCTGCATGGGTGTATGATGTATGTGTCTATGCATGCGTATCTCTATATGTGTTTGTATACGTATGTATGTGTATGTATATATATATATATATATCTGTGTGTGTGTGTATGTGTGTGTGTGTTATTGTATAATCATTCTGTATAACATAATGAATGTTGGTCGTGTCTCAGCGGAGATCCTCCCAGTGTTGCCAGAGTTGCTATTCCTCGTTCCTACTTGCAAGATCCTGCAATCATGCTCCCGCACTTGCCACGAGTGCAGCAAGGTGCTGACCATGATTTGAGCCAGTGCAGCCCTGAAGCACACCCTGGAGATGTTTCCAAGATCACTCTTCAGACTCTTCAGCTCAAGGTGGTAAACCATGGTAAACCTAGAGGCCAAGGTAATGCCTGGCTTGGCCCCAAAATCTCCGGAAAATGTGATCGCATGCTTACGAGTACCTATGAGTACCTGTTTGCAAACGCAAGAGTAAATTTCCAGCTGAGATGGCTTAATTACACTATCTACTATCTACAGATATCTACAGTGTTCCTGGCAAAGTTTGAGATGACTTGGACCTACCGGACCTACCGGTTCAATTCCTACGATGTTGTCCAATGTTTGAAAGGGATCCACATTTGAGACCTCCTCCGAAAGCGCTTCCGAACCGGTCGTTTGACAGCGTTCAGCCCACCCTGGCCAACCCATCTGACCTTTGCCAACCCCGCAGCGTCGGGCGGTAGCAAGGCTGACCCCTGATCATTGGAGTGGCTCATCTGGGCAGGGTTCCCAGAACTCTTCGGAATTCAGATCCATCAAGTGGAAAATTATGATGAAAACATGTTTGAAGCCTTAGCTTTGCCGAAATGCTCATGTTGACAATGAGTGGAATATGTTAATGTTAGAAAGTCAACTTCATTTGGAGAGATTGGGCATCCCCATTTTCAAATGCAGGATGCTCCAACCATAGCCTTGCCTTGCTATCTGCCCAAATGTCCTGCCCGGGGAGCAGAATGCCAGTGGGCTGGGCTCGATGAACTGAGAGAGTCTGAGAGACCCCGCCTTGTCCACTTTTTGGAAAACTTCTTTGAAGAAGGAGCTCAAGCTGCTGGTTGACACCTCAAGGCCGGCATGATATCAGGATTCCAACACTCAATTCCTGATTGAAGATACCTTGGACCACTTTGGGCCAACACTGACCCTTGCAATATCCCTCAATGAATTCGTCTCATTGTACCTGGATTGTACCCATTGAAGCTCTGAGTGCTTCGAATTTCCCTTTTTTCTCCGCCATGGACGGGAGAGATACGCCAGTTCAAGGCAAATACTAGGCAAATCTGCAACAACTCGCATGAAAAGATCGAGCTTTGGTGCAGAAGGACACTACAACACAGGCATCAAGTAACAGCTGTCACTCAAGTTCCCTGGGTTGTTTTAGGGTCGTATTATGTCGTATTCACCGGACAAACTCGAGGTAGGAATGCCTCCACAAAGGACTCAAGCAGTGGCTAGATCGGATAGGTGTTTTTCAGCTATCCAACCCATGAATTCCGTCAAGGATCCTTGACTCCAATGCCATTGGCTGACAGCTGAGTAGTCACTAGTCCATAGGCAAGTGCTTCTCCTCCTCAAGCGGGTCGGGCAAATCTGCACAGTCAGAGGTGGTTGCAATGCCAGCAGCGGGACCATTCGTCACAGCCGCCACCATGTCAGAGATGTCAGCGGCGCACAGGGCCTTCTGGCTTCCCTTGTCCCAACAGTCAGAAACTGCCAGCGACGTGAATTGTGAGATCCATGCGAACGAGGAAATGATGTTCCTAGGCGCAATAGCAAAACAAATGCTTCAGTCCAAGGTGACAATTTTTGCCGACATCATGCCACCTTGTGTAATGATATGTTTTTTCTGGTCGAATGACCCAATTGATTTTGCCCGTAATCACTGGAAAACAAACAAACAAACAAACAAACAAACCAGCAAACCAGCGAAAATCCGTATCTACCTACTTTGTTTTGACGTGAGGAATCTATGACAAGCTAGCATCTGCTGGAGAAAAAAAAGTGTTGTGGTTTTTGGACTTGGGAAAGATCTGGAAATGGGGGTTGTTCAAAAATTTGGTAATTCTATGTAACTCTGTAACTTAACATTGGTTAACCCAAAAATCCAGCCGTTTCTCATCATTTTCCCATATTTTCCCCATCCACTTGCATACTTGCATATACTTGCCATCACTTGCCATGCTAAGGGTTTTAGGGGTTTGTCCCATGTCCATTGATGATCCAAATTACAGTTCCAAACCTTCACCCCAGCTTCATGATATTGATAGCACAGGCCTTTGGCTCCGGGCATGCCGATGCCGCGGATCGGATTTGGAGTATGGCGCGTACGATGTAGGCTGCGGCGTTGGTCACGTCAGCCACCACGCACTGCGTCAGGTCAAAGGCTCGGTTGCGGTCGGCAGTTCGAAGCGCATCCACCTTTTGAACCGTCTCCACGGTGGGCAACGCACCAGCAGGGACGAAAGTCTTCCATCCGGGGCCTACGAAACATGCTTTCACCAAAATATACCACAATGGGCAAAAGTTGACAGAGAAAGTGACCCTTTAAACTTTAAACCGCTTTGAAAAAGGACTTCTTCTGATTTGTACTGTCTTTCTGAGAGCATCGGTTTCAATGCGCAATTCATGACAGCTAGGTCAAGCCTGGGTTTTCCGGAAAGATTGAAAAAGAAGAGGTATATACTAATTACATGTGCCTATGTATAATATAAGTGTATAATCGTATGTAACTATAAAAATGTGAGTGTGTGAGTCTGTGAGTGCACGGGTTTAACTGAGCGCTTGAGCAGTCCTGCATCACCAGTGCCAGTGATCTTGAGGATAGCAAGCCAGTCCTTGCCGAAGTCGCAATCCTCCTTCACAGCCGCACCCACCGTGGCCATTTCACCGAAGTTGGCCATCAAAGCAGTCCAGTCGCCAGCGCAAAGGGCACCGGAGTTCACGGCTGCACCGCAGGCGTTTGCTGCAAAGGACAGGTAGGAGGCGATCCACGTAACCTTACTCAGTTTGTTTCCTTGTACCCCTCCAACCCCCCAAAAAAAAAGAGAGAAAAGTTGGTTCGGGCGCCATTGTTGGGTATAGAATGGAGGCCCCCCCTGGGCGCGCAAACCAAAAACAAAAAAGGTTTGAAGTATAGACGCTTGCTGAGTTAGTAGCTGATGTAATGAAACCTGCAATACTCGCAGCACAACCGGCTTCGGAGTTGTTTGGGCATCGGATTCCGTCATATTTGATGGCCTTGTAGAGGAAGACCACCGCCTGGCCAAGGTAAGCAGCTCCCTGAATCACATCGATGACACACTCGGTGCGGATCCAAGGAAGCTCTTCCGGCTGAGACTCGTAGAAGAGGTCGTTGAGATTGCGCAAGGGCTGATTCAATTCCAAGGTCTTGGCATGCTCCACCACCGTGTCGATTCCAGGGATCTGCTCCCATTCCTGGATTGTGTTGATGTCGAAGTCCCTTCGTCTTCAGCGAGGTCTCAGGTGACCGGTACAGCACCTTGGCAGCCACTCCAAGCACCACAAGCAGGGCAAGGCCGGCACCAGCAAAGTACCAATGCCTCGGCTTCACGGTGTTCAACGTCTCAACCTCTAAGAGCATCTCCTCTCCTTCATCACTTGGGACCTGCACATGCGCGACACGCGGCATGGCCATTGTTGCACTGGTGCTCGTTCAAACAGAAGCAGAAATGTCCCTGACCCACTTGGCCACTTGAGCCACAAATGCTGCGCTTTGATGCGCTTTGCCTAAGTGTGTGGGCAGTGCTGGGTGAAGAAGTTCTAGTCAAGTCCTCAACTTGTCAACTAGTCCCATCATGCCTCATATGCTCAGTCGAGCCAAATACTTCTGGGAGTCCAGCTGCAGTCTCAGGTTGCAGGGATGTTGTCTCCTGACAGGGTCATCGACTCAAGCTGGACCCGATGCCGAGGAAGCCTCGGACCCCCCAAGTGGGTCAGCCAGTCAGCCTGCACCGCTTTTCGCGTGGCATTGACCACCATAGCAGGGCCCTCCAGGAAAAAGTCCGTGGAGCTAATGAGCCTGATGGGTCTGGCGGCTTGATCACTGCAAAGGCCACCTTGGGTGTAATACAACCATAGTGGATTTAGCGCGGGGTTCGCCAAGGGTGCCACCCTTGGGTTTTGTATTGACCGAGTTCATCCAAGCTCCTGACTCTTGCATGGCAGCTGATGGTTCACCATTGGCCTGTCGCTGGTGAGTCATAAGCATCACGCCCGAAAGGGCAACGCCACAAACCCCGCCTCTGAGGAGTCACCAGATTGACCTCACAGCCGTTTTCGGGTGTAAAGCCATAGGGGACGACCGGCCATGGAAACCAAAACTCACCGCCCACTCCTGTCCACTTCACCAAATGGATACCAAATGACTTTGGATTATGGGTCAAACTGGGTCTATCTGGTCTATCTGAGTCTATCTCCATCGCTATCTCAGAGCCCATTCCTGTGGGCAGAAGTGAGGAGGGGGTTCCAAATATTAAACCTCTCTTTCCATCCTGGGGGTTCAGCGAAGGCTGAAGAAGACAATAATTGAACCTATAATTTTCTTTTGATTCCCCCTACACTATCATAGACTCTGAAAAGCAGTCATGCTTGGAGGAAAGTAGTCTTCCACCGCCGCGTTTGGTAGGGGTCTGTGTTGGTTGAGGGGCAATTTGTTATTCAAATGTGTGTTTCTGTGTGTGTGTGCTTCTTTCAGGGTGCCCACACCGGCAGCAGCTTCCCGGCCAGCAATGTTGAACTGCACTCTGTGCAGCATCAGAATAACCTGGACGGCGGGCTGCTGAGATGATGCCGCTGCTGTTGCGACAAACAATGGCTTGGGATCAGGGAAAATATTGAAATCATTAGAAACCTTAGTTTGCAACCCTAAAAAAACATGAGGGATTCCTACTAATTGTCCCTTCAAAAGTGCAAACCTTGTATATATAGATATATCATGGAAACCTTTGGGAGTCCCTGCGTTCAAGGAATAGGCTGCGGATGCCAACAGCGCAAGGCATTCGACCTTGAAACGGCTGGACCCTGATCAGATCACTGGGGAGATATGGGGAAATGATATGATATGATATGACATGATAAAGCATGATCATATGTGATCAAATATCAAATGGTATGATATGATGTGATGCGTGGTAGTGAAAGATTGCTTTTTATTTCACACTGCTTCTTCTCAAACTCGCCCTATCGCCTGGCCAACAGTAGTGGATCTATCTGTTCATTTTGGCGGGTCAGTGCCAGATAACGGAATAATTTGGTAGGCGTGCCTTTTCATGCCATATGTGCCGTGAATCCCATCGTTCAACCGTACAACTAAACCATACTCGAAGCCTTGCGAGTTCGAAATGAAGCACCACAGGGACCCTCGGACCCTCGGCCTGCAGTTCTTTGAAGGCCGCCACTTTCATCTCGCTGTTGCTTGCTGCCTTCACCTGACTTTCAAAGATTTCAAAGCTGGATGTATCTGGATGTGCTGCTTCCACTGATTTCCACTGAAAGATCGTCCAAAAGTTGGGAACCCCTATGGCATCCTATGGCCCACAGGAAATGAGTCGATAAAAACTCTAAGTCGATACCGCTGCATCTCGATGCTCGTCCAGCGCCTTTGCGTGGCACTGGTCAATCTTGAAGCAGCCTCAGTTGTGGATCGCTTCGCCCTGGCTCCATGGAGAACATCCCAAAATTCAGCAGTTCGGGCTATCATGGGCTATCCATATACACCCCAGGAGGTAAATTGGCAAAATACTCAGCCAAAACCACTTGTCATTGACCTATAATGGGTTGAAGCATTCTATCTCATTCTAGCGACTATCGACACGGTGATGCTATTTGCCATCCTTTTATTGGTTGTCCAATGGGGAAACCCATCTGTTTTCATCAACCAGTGCGAATTTGTGGCATCTATGGGTTGATCTTCCTAGGTTGGTCATCCCTTCATATCTCATCCATTTTCTGGTAAAATCCACATATGTTCGTTGCTTAAGGCAGCCCATCTCTGGTACCATTTATTTGTCGCCAAGAGACCCTGGTGTCTAGCAAGGAAGCTTCTCAGGCCTTTCCGCCTCACGTGGCTCTCGGCGCACCAAACCACAAAACCGCTTGAGGTGAGAAGAAACGTGCCGCCAAGGCACGCATAGCTATCTGAAACCTCCTGGTGCTTCTGAAAGCTGGCTCTTCTCTGCTGTTCTTCGGCCTGTGACATATCCAAGGCCAGCTCATCCAAAGGCTGACTTTTTCACCCCAGCCTGGCCATTGGAAGACGCAGCGCCTCGCAGAACTCCAAGTGCCAAAAGGTGCAACTCTGATACCCTCCAACAAACTCAGTAAACTAACATAGCAATGGAAAATTGCCTATTTATAGATGACTACAGCTGACTACCTATTTAAAAAAATTAAAACGGTGATTTTCCATAGCTGTGTTAGTTTACCAGAGTGTATTTCAAGGCCTTCCCTGGTGCAGAAGTGCTTTGTATTTGTTTTTATTTTTGGAGTATTTGGAGTTTGCCCAAGAATCGGGTACGACATTGCCATCAAATGCGGATCATGAATCATGCATGATAAATATGATAATGATACTGATGACCTTTTTTTGAATGGGTTCTCCCCTCATTTTTGGACAACCCCATGTGCCACAATCCCAACACCTGCAGCCAGCTCTTTCATCAAGGAATCAAAGAAATCCTCTTGAACTTTGGGCAACTTCACCTGCAAATGGCCAGCTGGTCATTCAAGAATAAAAATTGTTGGTTAAGAATAAAAATTTGTTGCAGATTCCCATGGATGATGATAATCCCCGATTTTTGTTGGTGCGATCCCCGAACTAATCATCAACCAATAGAAGGGTTGAACACTGCTCAAATGATTGTGGCCCTCTGCGAATGTCATGAAAATGTTCACACCATTTCATTTCTCATACTGTAGTTTCTTTGGATTGACATTTTAGCAAGTCGGGCGGGCCTTCAGAAAATAGTAGGCACCACCAGCAAGGATGCCTGTGAAGATGAATTTCTTCCTCCAGGTCAAACCGTTGAACAGTGGAATGTGCCACTACATTCAGACATCCAAGCCAATGTTCATAGCTTGCTATGAATTGCAGCACAACTTGCAACCAGCTAATTAGTGCAAACATGTCGAACAATGACATGACAATTGGCTGAAGACACAACTTGACCGCATATGTTCATCGAATCCAACTATCAGCAGGCCTCGCCTGTGCCGCGAAATAAAATTCCAGATTCGCTGGACTACCTGGCACCCCGCAGAATGCAACAAGAAGGGGACTACTGTATCCATCTTATCATGTTGATCTCCATGCTATAATATTGACATATAGAATGAAATATATTTACAATTTTACAAATATGCATACGTTATAGTATGAATATATATGTGTATATTTAATCATATCTATATGATTCTAAATGTATATGCGTACATGTGTGTGTGTGTCTATAATGATGGGCCCCGAAAGAAAATTGAAAAATAAGTTGGGATCCCCAAACGATCGCCAGCACCACCATCTTGCCCGGCAGCAGATCGGTCACGCAGAATGCGCGTGTCGTGCAGGTCCGATCCCTGCACTGCACGGGATCAATGGGATGATTGAAGGGAAAATCGTCACCCGAAACCATGGGTTAAATATCTGTATGTATGTATGTATGTATGTATGTATGTATGTATGTATGTATGTATGTATGTCTGTATGTATGTATGTATGTCTGTGTGTGTGTCTGTATGTATGTATGTATGTATGTATGTATGTATGTATGTATGTATGTATGTATGTATGTATGTATGTATGTATGTATGTATGTATGTAGTATGTATGTATGTATGTATGTATGTATGTATGTATGTATGTATGTATGTATGTATGTAGTATGTATGTATGTATGTATGTATGTATGTATGTATGTATGTATGTATGTATGTAGTATGTAGTATGTAGTATGTAATGTAGTGTATGTATGTATGTGTATGTATGTATGTATGTATGTAATGTATGTAATGTATGTAATGTATGTAATGTATGTAATGTATGTATGTATGTATGTATGTATGTATGTATGTATGTATGTATGTATGTATGTATGTATGTATGTATGTATGTGATGTAATGTAATGTAATGTAATGTAGTATGTATGTATGTATGTATGTATGTATGTATGTATGTATGTATGTATGTATGTATGTATGTATGTATGTATGTATGTATGTATGTATGTATGTATGTATGTATGTATATGTCTGTCTGTATATGCCTGTATGCCTGTATGCCTGTATGTCTGTATGTCTGTCTGTCTGTCTGTCTTTCTGTCTGTCTGTCTGTATGTATGTATGTATGTCTGTCTGTATATGCCTGTATGCCTGTATGCCTGTATGTCTGTATGTCTGTATGTCTGTCTGTCTGTCTGTCTGTCTTTCTGTCTGTCTGTCTGTATGTATGTATGCATGTATGTATGTATGTCTGTATGTCTGTCTGTCTGTATGTATGTATGTATGTAATGAGGTTCAATTTTAAGAGGTTACAATTACAATTTTCTTACCTAGTTACTACCTAGTACCAAAATAAGTTTTTATGTGTATATATATTTATATTTATTTATTTATTTACAGTAATATAATCAAATGTATGTGGGTTTTCCTGCAGATTTCCCCTCAATCATTTCTGGGAGTTAAGAAGGGGATGATTGCATCACTGGTTATCAATCATCAATTAAGTTAAAACGATGTTACCCAACGCGTACCCTCCAATAAATTGATATAAATTGTGGTAGCCATGATTTCCTTTGCGGAAAATGATCTACGAATGGATATAATTGAGGATACAGGTGTTTAAATATACGGTGTGTTTGATCATGACCATTTAATCCTTTCCTCCTAGTATCGACGTCAATGTGATTAGAGCCTATCAAACCCAGCCCTCGCTTCTCAATGATGACAATATCAAATACCCCTACACGAAGCTCTATGGACGATTGGAGCATTGTATATAGGTTAATATTGCAAAATTAGGGAGATGAGATTGCCATTGGATGCTTATTCTTGTTGTCATTGATGGTAAGTCTATATCGATCATAATGAGTCATATTCAAGGATCATAATCAGTTGTCATGAACTCCCCCGTGTATTGGTGCTATATATCCACGATTGTCCATCGTGGATCATGAATGAAACTACAAACTGGTTGGTGGTTTCAGTTCACCCTCATCACTGTCAGGACTAAGGTGCAAATGAATGGCAACGGAATACATTGCTTCTTATATCATCATTTCATCTGCCACTATCTTTCATAATGTTTTCCCTCATATCCTTCATCAGGGTTTCTCCAACCCATTGTATAGGCATATAGGATCATATAGGCAAATTATAGTCACAAGGGAGGAAAATTGTTAATTTCACGTTTTGATCCAGCCATTTTCTCCCCCGTTGTATCTGGGGTGTTGGGATTTCTCCCCTGTTCATTCTTGGCTCCAACCCCCTGTCCGCCTTGGGCTTCACTCTCGGCGCATCGCCGGAAGGCCCCCAGGGCTAAAAGCAAGCTGCGGGATTTTCCACGTCGCCCGTTTTTAAGATCCAGATAGTGAACACTGTGGCAGATCCAAAGGTTCGTAAACCATAACATAAACCATAAAGAAAACCTGTCATTCAAGGTAAAATTATGCCACCCAGAACAAGAACGCGCGGATTTGGGTACGGCTTATCATTCAGATTCATTCGGTTTGCCAGATGAAGTGGATGATGATCCCTGCAGAACTAGGATGTACTTTGATTTGAGACCCCACGTATCTCCATCGTTCTCTCTGCAGGATTCATCTCAACCCACATGGTTAAAAGCACCATCAATAATCTAACTGGATTTTCCCCTATCCTTTTTGTAGAGGATTCTGTGCTATCAGGAGAGGATTCTGTGCTACAGCATACTTAGTTAGTTGATGTTAGTTGGGTCTAGTGGTCACCAAATTCTGTTTATTCAGGTGGCATCCGGCCGTCAGCTTTTGACCTGTTGTCAGCCTGTCCTGTCAGCTAGGCAGGCATTGCCGCCATCAGCCCTGGTCCAGCCCTGGTCGCAACCACCACCGATACGCGGTAGTCGGTTGGCTCACTATGGACTGAGCGGTGGGATCCGTTTCTGCATCGATCGGCCTGGTTTTTCTTCGCGAGCTCATTGTAGCTGCGACGCCGCGACCGGGAAGTCCATCTGGGAGATGTCTGAGATGCATTGGGATTTTGAAACTTGGGAAAGTTGAACCAAGGCGCTGAAGTGCGCCGGTGCAACACATCCATCCCTTGGCCCAAGGGGGCCCCGCACTTCAAATCGCCCTTCAAATGGCGGCAGGGTCCCACATGGTCCCATTGGCATCGCTTTGGAAAGCTGGAAACTTGGAAGGATTCAATCAATTCAATCTATCATCCCATCAGAGTCCATCAAATTCCATCAGTTGATGACTTTGAATGTGGCTTTCAGCCGTCTTCCTCCTTGGCTCAGTCGCACAGTTCCACTGTCCGGATCAATTTCTTTCGGCAGCACCAGCAGCAGGCCGCGGCAGCGGGGCAGCAGCCCAAAGCCACCAAACCTTGGATTAACCCCGTCCCCCCGTCGCAAAAAAAGAAAACACCTCCTAAATGGTCCCATTAATAAGTGATAATCAGTGTAAATCTCCTACTACACCATGGTTTCTATTTATTTCAGGGGGAGGGGTTAATATGGATTAATCATCAAGAACTGCATCATAAAATATTAAATGTTCACCACTGCGCCAACAGACAAATCACTAGTAGATTCACCGCTTCCCGATATTTCTGGTGGATTCACAACATTCAATGACCATTCAATGACCATTTTGTGAATTTTCGAAAAAAATCATTGACTCAGCAAGTCCGGAACTGGATGGGCAGAGACAGGTCCAACAGCTGGGAACTCACTGCGAGCTCTAAATCTTGGGCGCTCAGGGGTCCCGGAAGCTCCAACTGAACCGTCAGGTCCTGGCGGAAACGCCGCGACAGATCGTGAAATTTGCCGACATTGACGCTACTTTCGTGACATCATATATACATACACAATCACACACATATCACACACACATATCTCACACGTATACCATAATATAATATAATATAATATAATATAATATAATATCATATCATACAATATAATATAATATCATATCATATAATATAATTAAAAGAAATATATAATATAATATATTATAATATATTATAATATATTATAATATAATATATTATAATATATTATAATATATTATAATATAATATAATATAATATAATAATATAATATATGTGTATTTATTTATGAGTGTGCCATTAAAAACCATACATGTATGACTACGGTAACATACGGTAACTTTGCTAAATTGATCATGTTGATCTATGCCAATCTATGCACCAACAATTCGTTGCATATCGTTGCATGGCGTGGCTGCATCCAACTACCCCACCCGCAAACCAAAAAAAACTCCAAAGTATCCATTTCAGAAGATGCCAATCCCAAATCGCAGCTGAGCTTCTTTCCCCACTCTACAGGTGACCTCAACTTCTCCAGGGGGACATGTCCTAGTTGCATCCTCCATGCCTTGGATGGCCTTGGATGCACCCAGGGCCACCTCCAAGGCACCGGGACCACAGTGGCCCTCCAAGACCTTCCGCGCATAGCCAGCATAGCCCTCCAGCGCCACTCCACCGCGGGAGGCGCTGAGTAGAGCTTCAACGGCCCACTTGGCATGGTAGGCATTGTGTGGAGCAAGCTCTTCCATGAACCAGCAGCACCTCAGTGAGCTAATGATGCTAATGGTTCACATCGCACGGGTCTTTTTAAAAGGTATGTTCAAAAGTTCAAAACAAATTGTGACCTGTCTACTATGCAGAAAAGTCGGAAAATGTATGAAAATGTGGTAGTGGTTTTAGCGTGTTCTAATGTGTTCTATGCACCTGCAGTATGCAGCAGCTGCTTCATGATGCCGCTTCAAATCTGACAAAATGGTGGCCACTGCAACTTGCACTGCCAGCACCAAGCCGCCTCAGGTCAGGGCAGGTCACAGTTCCATATGGTTTGCCTCGGGCCTGTGCTGCTGTGTTGCGATTGGTGGTCAGCCCTGCTGACTAAGATATCCCAAAAAGTGATGCCAAGGGTTGGCGGTGATAAGCTTCGATTTTGGCCGAACTTTCAACCCCAAAAATTGCGACCACTTGCACAGGCAGACACATCTGCTCAGTATATACATAGCTCCAGATAGATTTATAATATAGATTTAAAAAAAGTTGGGCCAGCACCTGGAAATGTTATCAAAATAGCAGTGAAAAAGGTCTATATATTCTTTTAACATTGCACCCATAATATCCTGAGTCATCCTCAACCATTGAACTGTCGCGATATAATCTCAACCCTGGATGTTCACAAACTCTGTTGAGGATCGGGGGTTTACCTCATTAGAATGACAAATTATGAAAATCCAAATCATCGACCCCTTTTCCTCGCCAAGGTAGTTGTAAATAGTTGATTTCCAGATTTGAAAAAAAAAGTTGTCCACTCTTCAACTCAGGGTTTTGTTTCACTACACTTGCTCATAACATCCAGTAAATCAACAAAAAGTCAACAAAAAGCCGCCGCCACCACCACCACAAAAAGTCAACAACAACAACGGGGATTTTGCATCTCCAAGGGACCCAGCAGCACACGTTCCACTCCGCAGCCCATCGCTTTGGCCGCCGCGCGAACGGCAACGCTGGCACTGCTGAGGCGACGTAGCTGGGAGGCAACGAGGTCACCCACGTCGTCCAAGATTTGGATGAAGTCCTGGGGCCATCGAAAGTGAGGAGATCACTTAATGGAGGAACTGTGGAAACATATGTGTTTATTGTGTTTATTTCTTAATCTATACCAGATTATGAGAATATCTATACCATAATTAATCATATATAATCTATATCATATAATGCCCATATGGGTATGGATCAATACCTATGAAAATACCATTTTTAGGGGGATGAACATCCATTTTAACCCAGCTATTTTGATGTGAACAGAAGGGGTACTATTGGTTTTGACCCATCCCCATATGTGTTTATTGATGTTTATGGGTTGTTAAACACTGCATGAAAAATAAAGATGTTAATATATGTTAATGATTACTTCCGTTGCTGTGATGAAAATGCATCCGTGTAGAATTGATGTTTATTGATGTTTATTGATGTTTATTGATGTTTATTGATGTGTATTGGTTGTTAAACACTGCATGAAAATAAAGATGTTAATATATTAGTTAATGATTACTTCTGTTGCTGTGATGAAAATGCATCCGTGTAGAATCAACATCACGGATGAATTCATTCGTAAATGATCATGTTTTAATGATCAAGTCCACGGATAGTGCTGTAAACTAACCTCATGCCATGAACCATGTTGTGGCAGGCAACCACCCCAAGTGACTTACCAGAAATGGTAGGTAGAACTTGTCTTCCAAGGATTGGTCGATTGGGTTTGCCACATTAACATCAGGTTCACTGTGAATTAAGCAAACCAAATGGGGGGTTCGATTTCAAGGAATTTTACATTATTTTACCAACAGAAATGGATTGGTTAACTATCGGGGATATATTTTTTCCGAGGCACGGGGAGAAAAACAGATAAATCATATGATCATCCTTTCAAGCTGCTGCAGTCATGTTCCAGTCCCTGTTTTTTTTTGTGGCTAAAGCTGTCAAAGCTTTAGCAAAGGTAGAAGGTGTGACCTCAAAAATGATCCTTGTCCATGATGTGGAATTGTCTTAAATCATGATCAGGTTTTGCTACCGGGAGTTGGAACTTGGATGCACTTGGGACCTGGGAGGTTTTAAAAAACAAACGTGGATTTGAAGATCATGTGTTTGCACGGTTCCGCCCAAAAAAATGTGGCAACTATTGGAGTTGGGGACACCAACTCCACCAAGTTTAGCGAGAACCATCTCCCCAACCAGCGATACTATCCACTGACCCCAGGAGAATTGTGTCAAACTTCAAGGCCGGGTGCTCCATCTACCTATCGTGGCTGGGATCAAAACATATCAAAACCCTCATTTTCACTTCGAAATAGTCATGGAATGTTGTGGATGCTCATCATTTTCCATCACATGTTGGAGGGTCCCACATGCTGCAGCTTGCCATGGCCGACCGAAAACCCTTGCACCTCAACTGCAGCGGAGTCGTCAATCCGATCCAAGATCTGCTGAACCACAGCCTGCCCAGCAGCAACTGAGAAACCCATTGTGACTGCCTTGTAATGAAGCATTTAGTTGAGCACGTGTCAAATGATTATGCAAACATGTCAAGGGGTGATATGCATTGATATGCCACAAATTTATTGTGAGATTCCGCCCAAGGTTGCATTAAGCACTCTAGCAACCTATGAAATCTATGAAGTAGGATGTGACAGGATGTGATGCCTTCTTCAATGTGCCACAGCCCCACCGATTCAATCTCGCAAATAAAAGTCCCAGCCTAAAAATCATGGGGAGTCAACCCCCAAAAGGTGACCCAAACCCAAACATGGAGAGTCTGGTTGAATCATGTTGAATCATGTTGAATCATTTGAATCATGTTGAATCATGTTGAATCATGTTGAATCCGGGGAAAACATGGAAAAACATGTCGCATCCACTATCCCATCCATATCCCAACTATACCCTGGCGTTTCCTCTGAGAACAGCTGCTCTTCCAGCAGGATGCGATCCCCCGTGAGGTCAAAGCCGTAGCGCTCGCGGATCGCTTTGCGTCGCTCCGTAGCCGGCTGCACCACCGAGACGTAGCCATCAGTCACCTGGGACATGACGGATGACGGTTTATGTAAACCATTTGTTTAGGAACATTTTGCATATAGAATGTTGTCCATCTGGTGTTGGCATCTGTGTTGTTATGATCACATTCTGACTATTGGTATATATATATATATATATGTGTGTGTGTGTTGTCATATCATATATATATATTATATATATATATATAACTATCATATCTATCATATACTATCATGATGATCATGGCTGTCATCATCAACATTAATGGACAAGCTCAGGCTCCCAAGCCTCATCTCCTGCCCTCATGTGTCGCGCCGCGCGCACGAACATCATGTCCCCCAAGAAAATGCGGGCTGCGCTGGGCTGGCAGGAGTGGTTCACTAAGGAAGCCAACAAGAAGATGCCCGACACTGTCCTAGACAAGTCATGGCAGTCATGGGCCCTTTTCGAAAGGGCACCCAAAAAAGAGGGCCCATGGGTCAAGCCATTTTGCCTTCATCTTCCATCCTCTCAAATTCAAATACTGACATAACCCAAACATGGAAAACAAAAACAGAAAAAATGACAAGTAGCTCCTCAACCCAAGGCTCTTGCCAGGTTTCTGGCAGCACAAATCCGATGTATCCAACTCATGCGCGTTGGCTGACAGGATTGCTTGTACCTCCTCCCTCCTGGGCAGTGCTTGCAGAGCCGTCAAGTCATATCAAGCCTGGGATAGAAGAAACCCGTGAAATATAACGTGGTAAAGCCAATTAAAAAAATCCATCCCCAATATGACCATAAATGGGTGGTATACCATCCCTAAATTAAATGGTGGTTATATTCTTGGGTTTACCATATAACCATATATAACCGCCTTTCACAGCTCACCTGTGCACCACCTCCTCACCACCTCAACTAAATGTCTCAACTATACCTAGAAGCCTATATTGACTCAAAATCCCGGAAGCTCAAAAGATAGTCAAAACAGCTCCTATCAATGGATGCGTGTCCCCCCATTCCTCACAGAAGAAAGATCAAAAACCGGAGCTTTTCAGCATTTTTCCATCTTTGACATCCCCAGACCTTTCTCCAAGTCTCTTCACCTCTTTCCTCTCCATCCTGGGGATGACTGTCACGCCTCCCCCTTTCCCATGGCGAAGCTGGGGCAAATCATTGGGCGTGGCACGGCGCGTGCATAGCAGGAAGAAAGCGTCGAAGTCCTCTGGGGGCGGCTAAATTGTGCCCCCAAAACCAAACAAAAAAATGCCGTTTCAGCATTTTCCCATCCCAAAATGCTGGTCAAAGTGGTTTTGGATTGCTGGTGCAATCCAACCCATCTGGACTAGTGGATGCAAATGGAATCAAATGGAGAAAAAGCATTAGTCAGGATGACCTTAGGGAGCGCTGTGGAAAATAAAATGATTGAAACAACCAAGCAAATTGTTTTGGGATGATGCTTGTATGACTTGCACTCATCCTCCAATGCTGAAATCTCTTGAGAGAACGGCCAAAAAGTTGAAAATGAACTGGAGGAGGGGGAAAAAAACAGAGCCGTTGGATGTTGATGTTTTTTGCATGCCTTTGATACCTTTTTAGCCCTTGTTTGGCCACTGCCCCCATTCCAATTCACGTCCTCCCGGCCACAGTTGCGAAGCTTTTGACAGGTCACCTTGCCACAGAGTGCCAAAGGCCCCCAAGGTTCTCAGATGTTACCCTCTGGTAATTTAACATAGCTATTGAGAATGGCTATTTATAGTGGATTTTCCCATTAAAAATGGTGATGTTCCATAGTTATGTCAGTTTACCAGAGGGTAGGACCTGATTTCTTTGAAACAAATCGCAAGTGATCCCAACGGGCCAAAAAATTGCCAAAACATCCCCACCTCCACCAGCTTCGGTGTTTCTGCCACTGCCATGGCTTTGCATGCGAACAGCAGCTCGCCTGCCAAGCCGCCAAGCCCAATAAGCCCATTCCCCAAATATTTTGAGATGGGTCGGACTCATCATCATCCTGCAGCTTTGGATATTGCTATGGCAGGCGCACTGCCTATGACCTATGACAAGATGTATGACTAGTGCGGGTGGCCATCATTGTGGCTGCACCTTGCGGGACGTCGCGTTGCACCAAAATCCCGCGACCTTTTCCTGGTACCCACGCCACATCAATGGGACCCACAAAGTCCTCCACCCCAGCAGAATCTCCGGGTCTTAGCGTCAGCAACCTTGATGGGCCATGCGGCTGTCTGGAAGGCGGTGTCACCCGTGTCTTCCCTGAAATCATCGTCTAACCACAGCGGTTGGCGTTCGAAGATCAATAATATTGGAAGCTACCATTTCAAACTTTCAATTGAAGGATCATTTCTCACTCTACTATATATCTGCGTGTGTGTGTGTGACACATATATATACATACATACAATATATATATATATATACATATATAATATAGATACAACAGTGTACACATGGGGTCCCACATGCTTTCGGACGATTCTCTCTCTCTGACCCGCTGACCAAGCAGCTGTTTGAAATCATAGGGCGGAGGTTCCATGGTGTCCATGGGGGCCATGGCTCCACCGTTCCCTGTGAGCCAAACCACCGCATGGCCGCATGGTGCGAACCCTGCCCTAAGGAGCGATGTTAGTTGGATCCTGCGAAACGGGGAGATGTTAATCCCAAGGAAACAGCTGAACTGGCCTGGTGAAACATGCTCGGAATCATCATATTTGAAGTTCGTCGCTGGTTGAAATTCAAACAGATTTGAAACTACCAACCAGTCAAGTGAGATATTCGGATAAAATCTCAAGAATCCTAAGAGGAAACTCTATTTTTAATAGCTAAATCATCAAAAATCACATGTTTTCATGGCTTATTTTCCATAGCTCAAGCCACCACCAAGGAATCTTCGAAACCTCACCGGGTTCCCGGCTTCAAAGCGCTCCGCAGCAAGAAGGAGCAGCTGACGCGCACCGGGCCTCACCTGGGCTGTTGGTTCAGGTTGGCTATGCCAAACCCTGATTAATGGAAGATACGATCAATAATTGGATGATTTTGGGGTGGTTCTTGGATGATTTTCGGATGGTTGATTATTGTGGTTTGTTGAGTCATCCCCTGTTACAAATCATTCGGTGCCTGCTATAGTGGTCATTAATACCATCTTCCTGAAGTGGTCCCCTGGTTCTCTCTGGTCCCTGTTCCTTGGAGTTGGCGGCATCTCAACCAGACCTGTTCCGTTGAAGCCTTGCTGAGTGGCGGGCGAACACCTTCGCCTTCAACACTGCCTGCAAACCCCAAACGCACCTCCCCAAAGCCAGAAGCCGCACCCTGCTCGAACCCTTCAACAAAGGTCAGGCCCATGTTTGTCCTCAATTGTCAAATTGACGTGAATTTACATTCCCAGCTCAGCTTTGAAAATGCACCTCTCAGCTGCTGGGGGTTTTCAGGAAGAAAAATTGTCTGACCAGCTCATCAGCCCACAGCTTGCCACATTTTTTCGGAGTCGGACCTTGGGATCTCCATTCTCCAACTCCAAGTGGATGTCAGGATGCGCCCTCAGCATTGATACAGCAGTTGAGACCCCTCCGGCTTACGGGGCAAACCACACTGA